CCAAATGGTAAACACACAAGTGTAAGAACGACAGCGTTATTTATTTATTTGTTTTGGGGGGACTTTAACATATGTTTAACATATACCCAGTCTCATTTGCTGCTGGTTTGAGCTAAATGAGCAATTATTTGTATATCTGGCTCGCGAGTGTCTGCAAGCACGTGTGTGTGTGTGTGTGTGTGTGTGTGTGTGTGTCCACCCACATGAAATAACACCCCACCCTCCCTCTTCCCCCTCCTTCACAGTGCTATGAATTATTCATGTTTCAACCTCTTCAGTAAGCCTGCTTTTATAAATGATGGTCATGTGGTGGCCACGTTTCGATTTTACACACTTCTGCATCAGAGTTTTGGCTTTGTTATTTTGATTTATTGGTTTTAATATTTTCAGGCATTATAAATTAGGAGCAATGTTGCAGCTGGAGAAACAAGCTGCGAACGATTCACAGCTGTGCTTCTTCCATTAGCATATCCAGAAAGCACTCATTAAACTACAAACACTGCTGGAATTTTTTTTTGTTTTTTTGCTTTGTTCCTAAAATCAATCATTTTTGCTTCGTACTGTCTACTTAACATTTATTTTCCCATCAGTTCAACCAGTTACAGACTGCAAGAAAATAGTCTGAATGCATGTTTGCCTGTTTTTCAGAGTGCTCTTCAGAGCTCCCCGTGGGGTCTAATGCAAACGCTGGAACAGCAGGTGGGAGAGCTGAGGATCGACGCTGCTGATGACTGTTGTGACAGAGCCCAAGGAGAAACTGGCAACAGTCGACCGAGTTCTGGTACTTATTTCTGCAAGGCAGTGAAATCAAAGTGCAAACACACTATATAATTCCCTTTTTTCAGTAAATGAAGTTGTTTTTTTCCAGAGTGTTGCTCAGCTGAACGAAACTTGTGTTCTTTGTATTTCATGTTTGAGTCTCTGCTCTTATTGTTCCTTTATGCTCCAGTTGTTTGTGATTTTAATCTGTGGCCTATTTGTGAAATGCAGTGAGAAACTTTTCTATTTTTTGAGGAGTGGAATGAGTTATAAGAGATGAGATAAGCCTTTCTTTTTTTTATTGGTGCCTTTGCCTCACAGCAAGAAGGTCCTGGGTTTGAGTCCAGTTTGAGGCCTTTGTGTGTGGATTCTCCTCCCACCATCCAACGATATGCGTGGGATGTGGTTAATTCTGTTCAGTTATGATCAGAAGTTTACATAGACTCATAATCTGTGTGAATGTCATGGTGATTTGAGGATTTTAAAGATTTCTTTGAACCCTTCTTTTTCCAGAGTAAAATGATTGTACAATATAAGGCCTGTTAACCTCTCATTAATTAGAAGTTAATAGGCTGTGTTGTTGTTCAATTAAAAGACATCACTCATTAAAAGATTTAAGTGACTGTGCATATATGTGCATATATGAGCCTGTATGTATCCTTTTGACCCTGTGTACATTCAAGAAAATCCCAAACCAAGTCATTAAAGATGCATGCTGTGCAATCATTCCACCCTGGAAAAAAAACAGTTCAAAGAAATCATTAAAATTGTGATGAATTAATTACACTAATTACACTGTGTCCTAGGTTTCTATGAATCAAGTGAAGGTCAGTCACCAAAAGGAAAATCTTGTACCACTGAGCCCACAGAGAGTGTCTCCTCCTGGGCTTACACCAGTGACAGGCCAAAGTCTGTGGGTAAGCAAGACTATCAGACGTGGAAGATTTGAGATATTGTGAAACCTGCATATGTGCTCTTGTTGAAGTAAAATGATTAACATATTAGCACATACTCTTTGCATATTAGCATGAGAAAACAGCAGACTCTTAGTCAACTGTCTTTATGTGAAAGAGGCTTAATAAACATTAGAAGACTTATTCTTTTTATTTTAGGGTTTTCTGTAGACTGGATTTTGGCTGTGTTCTGATTACCATCTTATTAGGTCAAAGATGAGGATGCGTCAGACCCAGCCTAATAACAAGTGCAATTCTATTATTTGTCTTTTTGTTAAATGCTAATATTGCAAATGTATGGGAACAGACTGAGAGTGGCATGGCTGCAGACTCTTAGTTTTGAGATTATTTATTACTGTTTAACTATTAGAACTTTTATTGATCACCTCATAGTTATGCATTCAGGATGATTTTACTTACTACTTCACTTATTTCTCAATATTTCTCTCTGCAATCAGGAGACCCCCTTATGCTGGATGGAGAATTTGATGCACCACTTCTACGCACCACGCTACCCCGCTCTTTCTCTGCCCCCTACCCACCTCTTGAGGGTATTGCTGAGGAGGGCACTGCCATTGACTCCTGGCAGTGGGACCCCAGCGGAGACAATGGTGGCTGGGAGCAGCAACCTGAAGAGGATCAGGTCACCGAAGAGGACTATCAGCTGGCTTTGAAGGTAGAGGGTTACATCCTGAGTCTCATCCAACGCCATACCCTCACACCAAGACCTTGTCAGCCTCGCACCACTCTTAGCCCTGACCCCCCATACTGCAGTGGCTCTGGACACAGCTCCCTACACAGGATAACTCCTTCTTTAACCACAGAGCACCGCCCTTCTGATCATCATCTTCAGCCCCATGGTGACCTTTCTACAAATCCTAATGGCCAGGGATGGGGTTGTGACCTGGAGCGAGAGGCCTGTGGTGGGGAGGCCCCATCTTTGGAGGAGGACTGTTATTTAGCGCTGCCCTACCCCCAGCCCAATCTAATTTCCCTGGCTGGAAGGCTACCATCCCCTCCGCCCTCACTGGACCATAACTGTGGAGTTGGGGCTCTTGACCTTTGTTGTGAACCCCCATCCCCCCATCATTATCTACATCCACAGCCCCCTATTCTTCACATGCACAGTTTAGTAAGTGCTCAGTATATTCCTGGACAAGCCTGTCATGCCCCTCTGTGCTCCCCAAGACATTACAACCAAGAGCAGCCAAAGTCCAACCAAGTTTTCACATCTCCTGATCACCTCAAGTACAGAGCATCTAAGAAAAATCACAGCGAGAGACAGAGATCCAAGAAGTCAAGCAGTAAAACCAATAGATCCCAGTCTGAAAACAGCCTCCTGGGTCAGCGGGTGCTTCCAGAGAGGAGGTACAGCACCACAGAGAGGCCCCAAGGTAGAGGTGATCCTCATACACTGCCTCAGAATCAAAACCAGGTTGTAGGACACCAGGTGGTCTACAACGGTCACAACGAGAGCCGACGCTGGCGATCTAACCTGGAGCTCAGCCAAGATGAGGGGGAAGTCCAAGCAGGGCAGGTACATAGACGACCACCTCGAAAAGTTCGCCACGGCCCTTCTTGTTCCCATTCCCAACCCCAGAACTACCACCAACAGCAGCACGCCAAGCACTGGCAGCAGGACTTTCAGGAAAGCGCACCTCTCTGTCAGGGGGAGGAGAGCTATGGTGGTGCTGCCCCCGCAGAGTCCGAGTCTAGCATGAGCGAGGTATATTCTCCAGCCTCCAGCTCGCTATCCAGCGACTCAGATGAGAGCGGGGGGCTGGTGTGGCCCCAGCAGCTGCCACCCCGCCTCGCTTCTACCTCTTCTTCATCATCTCCTTCACCACAAGCCACTGCCAATACCCCATCTCAACCAAAAGCCTTTGTCAAGATAAAAGCTTCCCACGCTCTGAAGAAGAAGATTCTCAGATTCCGCTCAGGGTCGCTTAAAGTCATGACTACTGTATGAGAAACTCGTCAAACTAGTTTTAAACACATACTCGTCAGTAACTTACTTGCCACCAAACCCTATGTCAAATATCACATCCCATCTTTATATTCAATCTACAGTATGTCATAGTGAGATGCCTTTACATGTATTGGTATGAATAATGATCTATTCAAAGATCTTTCATTTGTACTATCTGGTTAAATTTATCTTCCAGTTGACAACCATCAGACACAAGACTAATGGGCAGTATACTGCTCTAATGGATGACAACTGATACCAAATGACATGTACCACCTAGAAGCGGAGTGACTGAATATGCTGGCAGTTTTTCCTCTGTTTCATTTGCTCTCATCAGATAATTGTGGTTAATTAATGTATTACTGATATTTTCACCAAGTCACATTATTAGTCTAAAAACTATATCAAATCTTTGTGATACGGGCCTTAAAACATACTAGGTAATTTTGCTGTGTTCAGATTTCATAATAACCTCTGATGGTCTTTTTTAAAGATTATGCTTTTTGCTGAAAGTCATAAAGTAAACAGGAATTTCTTTTAATTCTTTGTGCTAAACTGCATTCAAACGCAAGCAAAAATCGACATATTAGCAAAAAATCTACAACTAAACTTTGCAATGCACTTGAAATGTTGGAGTTAATCCACTAGAATTGTGCTAATTAATATCGCCCTATTCCTACAAATTCACAATCCTCTGTAAGAAAGTCAAGGGAACGATTTAGAAAAGGGTTAGGATACTTTTCTGAATGTGGTATGAGTGCTAAAACTTAACTGAATAACCATGTTTAAATTTGGTTTCCTGCAGACTCAAAACTCCTGCACCAACTGTGAGTCTCTCAGCAGGGCACACCTCTGCATATCCAGCTGTTACTGAGCTCCTCTTAGTATGTCCTGGATTCACTGCAGTGAACTTCTTACTACCTCCCCTCTGCAGCCAGTGAGCATAAAGAACCAGACATCCATGTGTCAGGGATGGATTTATTAGAGGCCACACTAAGGGGCCTGTGTACATTCATGCATGCATGTTTAAACTCACAGATTCCCTGAAACACTGGGACCTACACACTGTAAATAAATATGTGGACTTGTTTGGAACAACTGTAAATAAAGAAAGCATTTCACTCAGTTTTGATATTTTAGCACTTTTTTGTTTATTCTTAAATCAAAAAAGACAATGTGTTAACAAGCAAAATGAAGGTTAATATATTCTTAATATTTCATATAATGCAAAAATTAAGGTTCTGTTTTATATGTTAAAAGTTCGAAATGCAGAACTCCTGATTGAAAACTTTCAAGAATACACCCCCCCCCTAAGCTCTCTGCTTTAACCTTAACTGGTAATCCACTGTAGGATGAGTGGATGGATGGATTTGCAGCTCATGACCAACTCTCTCTGTTGAGTATAGTATCAAAGTATCTATACAGCCAATAGTGTGTATTGTGCCTTGATATGTAATAGCAAACTATATGTAATGGTAAACAATATTAATAGTTATGTAATGATGGTCAAACCCCAGATTTTACTATTTATCGTAGCTCTTGTCTCTTTCCAGTCTCTTCGCCTCAAAATACCAACATCATATAGATAGAAATATAAGTACATATATGTACATTTTTTTACATCAACTTTCAAGATAAACATCACAAGATAATTTTTTATCAGCTGTTGTTTGAAAGAGACCACCAAGTCATTGTGATGACCAAGAGGTAGAGAGTTACAGGATGTATGTAAAAGTTCACTAATGTATGCTGGTGCTTGTCCGTGGTCAAAATTTGAATCTTAAAGTGGAGACTGAATTTAATGATTATCCAGTGCAGCTGGGTCAGCAACAGTGGGACATGAGAGTACCTGGAAGATTTAGTCAGAAGCCTTGCAGCAGTGTTCAGAACAACCTGGAGTGTTCAGAAGTGATCAATGGATTTTAATAATCCACACATAATGAAATAAATGCATGAAAAACACATTTAGTTCAGAGCGTCACACAATGGGACTTCACTTGTTTCTTAAGCAGACATTTGAGATGAACATTCAAAGTGTAAACAAAAGTCAAAAACTACTCCAAGATTCCTGATTTTAGATTTAGCAAAATGTAGCAAAGGACCAACCACCAGCTATTAATAGAATCTAAGCACCTATGCAGGATCTATGGCTCTGAAACATACTGGGGCTTAAAAGAGATATATAACTGAAAATCATAACTGTTAATAGCAGTTATAACTGGTATTAATAGTTTTGATTTATTTTCAAAGAGTTCTACAGCAAATTGAGTGTCAGCCATTTAGAGTGTGTCTCCCTCTTGTGGTCTATGAAAACAGCATGTATACAAGAAGATGTAATCAGCATTTTTCTATAATCACTGCGAAAAAGTAATCAAATCTCTATGTATTTTATTTCTGCTACCAAACTATACTAAAACATGACAAAAAGTCAGAAAATGCATCATATACATAATGCTCTGAAGTAATTCTTCTGTAAAAGCCAATAATAGAACTTTCATGTGTTTTGTTGCGTAAGACATGGATTTTTATAGAAACCTTACAGTGTAACTATCAGTTCTGCTTTTGAAATCTTGAAATTTGACTTGACTTACCACCCAAATTCACTGGAAAAAAATCTTCATAACTTGTAAAAATGAATGCACTTTTGTGTATTTGTGTTCACAGACTTAAATCCAAGCCAAAGTCTTTTGCTAAACTTCATGACAGAACTGTTTATGTTACAGCAGTCCTCCATATGCAAGAGAGTTATATTGTTGTCATTTCTTTGCCATTACTGGTGCTCTTGGTGTCCACATTAGTGACACTCTTCTTGGTGGTCGGTTCCTCGCCCATGAAGCGGAAGATGTTACGCAGGGAGCGGTTCATGCTGTCTTTGAAGCTTTGACCCAGACACACATAGAGCAGAGGGTTGAGGCAGCTGTTGAAGTAAGCCAGGCAGAGCGCTATAACGTGTGCCAAGTGAAGTTTGGGGCTCACATAAGTACCCCGAGGGGTGGTCAGTATGAGGAAATCCACGATGTGCAGAGGTATCCAGCACAAGAAGAAGCTCAGCACCACAGAGATGACGACCCTCAGGGTTTTCTTGGATCCAGTCCGACTACGTGTCATTCTCCTCTGTGTGTTACTGAAAACCACCAAGTGACAAACTAGAATAACCAGGAAAGGAATAATGAATCCAATCAGGAAGCGAAAAGCAGAGACAGGCCAGGCACTGTCTACAGTGTACTCCATCCTACACTCTCTCTTCTCGTCACCTGCCACAATCTGCTTGGCGTACACAAACTGTGGGATACTGCCTATCAGGGCCAGGACCCACACAGCAACACATCCATAAGCACCCTGTTTGGGTCGCCTGTGGTTCTGACACCAGATGGGTCTAATGACCAGCAACAAACGATCCACGCTGATCACAACCAGCTGCAGGATGCTGCAGTACATCACCAGGTAAAACAGGCCTCTGATGAGCATACAGGCCAGCGGACCGAAGTGCCAGTGATCGTCGTGGACCAGAGGGACCATAAGCAAGGGGATGGAGAGGCAGCACAGAAGATCAGCCAGAGCGAGGTTGAGGAACCAGAGGGAGGTGACAGAGCGGGACATGCAGAACCCCGTCACCCACACCACCACAGCATTTCCAGGCACACCCAGCAGGACCACAAGGCTGTACATGACCAGAGCCACTATCTGGATCGGCTGAATCTCAGGAGTCACAGACTCAATAATGTCAGGAAATGTGTTATTATCATCAGGAAATGTGTAATTATAGTCACCGTAATCCATGATTCCTTACAACTGTGAAGTATAAAAAACATTTTCATAACTCACTGAAATAATATAATTCAATCAAGAAAAAATATTTATTGACTTTTAAATTAATTTTAGTAGTAACAATGATCAATTTTAGACTTTAGTATTAACTCACCGATGTTCAGCCTCTCGTTATGTTGCTCTGTCACCACTGAGAGGAAGTTGTTGAGCTGGTTTGCTTCTCAGCTTTATACTCTCACCCCACCCCACACAGACACAGTTGCACATGATCTCTGTTGAGAGTCCTCATTGTAGGCGTGAAACTGCAGTCACAAAATTGGTGAATCTAAAAAAAAAAATAGTTTTAATTGCAAAAAATTAATTTCACAAGAAATAATTAGGTCACAGGCCTAATGACCTAGGTCACTTCTGTGACCTAGGTCATTAGGAAGTGATGAGACAATTTGTAATATTTACTTTATTCATGTGTTTTGCACCTGCAAGTACGCACAATGTAAGAAAAGAATATAAAAATATACAAATAAGAATTCAGTTATTTTGAGCTGAGACCTGAAATGAATCTGCCTGAGGTTAAAATACAGATCAACAGATGTGTTTGAAGGATGTGGTCAAAAGATCATGGCAGCACTCTAGCTGCCATTTCAGTAAATGTGGGTAATGTGCAAATCCCACAAACATGATAACCTCCCACTTATTTGAATGCAAAGACTAGTTTGCAATAATAAACTTTTGTGTTCTCGTGTTATTAATATTGAATTCAATTTGATTGAGTTTGATAGTAGATGTTTTTCACCAAACAGATTTAACTTTGTTCTAAGTTACAAAAAAGAACAATTTCAATTTCATTTCTTTTCACTGGTTGCTTATGTGGGTTATAAAAGAGAGCGAGTCATCAATTTTAATTCCTAAGTACTTGTGCTGACTGAGTTACAAGCCCTGAACTGTTGTAATACCTGAAAGGTTCAGTGGTTTCGATTTTGAATTTGAGAACATCTTGATCTGTTTAGTTTTGTCAACATTTAAAACGTTTTAAATCACAGTTAATGCTGTACTGCACTGAATGCTGGCTGGAGATGACAGAGAGCCTGATTAAGTGTGGGTGCAGAGGAGTATATGAACATGTCATCAGCATAAAAATTAAACTTTGCTGTAGTGATATTATGATTATTCATATATAAAATAAATAACAGTGGCCCTAGAACAGAATCCAGGGGCACTTCTTTGTTTCATTAAGGAAGCTAGAAGTGTTTCCTTCTACCTGTACACACTGAGACCAGCCTCATAAATAATTTTAAATCGATCCAACTGTTTGTTTGTTTGTTTTTCTTTTCAGACAACCCTGCATTGACAAGTCTTTGGCTTAGGCATTTATGATCAAATGTCTTGGCTTGATTGATAAAAAAAAAGGCTACATAGTGTTGCTTGTTATCCACTGAAACAATGAAATCATCAGATCCCTAGCTTTAAACAAAGGGAGAACTTATTATAAGGTTCAATAAAGTTACTTTATATTAAACCTGATGTTTTAGGCACCAGTCATCATTTTACTTGCTTCTCTCTTTCACTTCCACATGCACAAAAGTGTCTCATTCTTAATAAAGCAAACAACCTTTCCCAGTTTTGTAAATATACCTATTAGGATCCCTGGCTTTGAACCCAGTTCTTCAGTTTTGTGGGTTTTTGATTTGTTTCTAGATTTATAATGTGATTATGCTTTAGCTCTTCATTGCCTAGTCCTTTGGTGTTCAGTATTTTCCCATGTGCTTCCAAGCTTATTTATTTATGTTTCTAGTTCTTAGTTCCTTGGTCTAGTTAATTCCACTTTCGTTTCCAGTCTGTCTTGGTCTCATGTCTCTGTCTCCTTCCTATAGTGTCTCCTGTAGTCAATCAGTCTTGATCTTTGTGTTAGTTTACCTAGTCTGTGTCTAGTTTATGGTTTCATTCCAAGTTCGTAATCTGTTTATATTTTCATTTTTCTTCTTAGTTTGTAATATGTAGTTATCTTCATCTGTGGCCCTGATCACGTGTCTGTGTTTGTTTACTCTTCGAGTTTGTAAAAGTTGAGTCTCTGTCTCTGTTTGTTTCTGATCTTATTTTGATAGTCTCTTGTGCCATGTGCTTTGTGTTTGGCTTTGCTTCCTTGGCTCATTCGTCAGAATTAGTTTGCCTGTGTTCCCAGGTATGTGGTCCGTTTACCTCCTGTGTGTATTTAAGCCCCTAGTTTTCATCTGTTCTTTGTTGTGATCGGTGTGTCCTGTCAATTTGGAGTTTTGTAGTTAAAATGCCAAGTTCTTTGTATTCAGTGTCCCTTAAGTCCAGAAATAAAACTTCCTTTGATTTCAGTTAAATGGTTTAAGATATTTTAGTAATAATTGTTATTTAATTGTTATTTTATTGGGGTGTATGTCAGGAGTTTGTATATGAGTATGTGTCAGGGCAGCTAAAATGGCTTATTTCTGCCTTTGTTAATATTTTAACAAAATACCTCAACACCTGAAAATGAATGCAGTCCTGCATTTATAGGAAAAAAGAGTTTATTCTTAAACTCATAACAATAATTTGACAGTAACATAACATGTCTCTCATATCAGAATGTTATTCACAAATTAACCTACTCGGAAGCTACAGCACAGTTAAAGTGTTTTTAGTGATATCTAGCTCTTGTAATAAAAAGCCACTATTGCTGCCTCCCTTTGTGCCATGCTTCACAGTGCCTCTCAAAAGTGAACTGCAACCTTGTGGTAACTGCTGCCATTAAGACCCCGTAGTTAATCAGCATCTTTCACTTCCACAACTGAGAGATCAGTTTCTCAATGGTGGAAGAAAAGAGAACAACAGTTGTCCATAAATAAGGAGGAGAAAAATAGCTTTGGCATGATTTCCCAGTTTAGCCTGGTGACATCACCAAGATTAGAAAAATAAATAAAAATCAGGAAATGAAACACAAAGTCATCAAAAAGTTCCAAAAAAGTTAAAATAATACTGACATTGCATAATATAGCAATATCAGGAAGCTGGCTTTGTGAAAATGTGTTTTTGCTCAACATTTTCACAGCACTGAGTGCTCAGAAGTAATGCCATTTGAAGGGTGGAGCACTGCTGTGTGGAAGTGAAGGAGGTCATCTCTGAACTCAACTGAATAAAGGTCAGCAGAAAAACAATATGTTGAAAAACGCCCAAATACTTTTTGCAATACAAAATATAGTAAGACAATAAGACCCTAGTAGAGAGAAAAGTAGAAGTATTTTGGTTGAGGAGGTTGTGGGTGCTTGCATTATGACTACACTAAGTCTTCAGGGCAAAAAAGTTGGAACCCTATTAGAGCCACTGACCGAGATCTCCCAGCATCACTGAGCTGCTTCCTGTTATTCACATTCTCTTTTCACACATTACTATTCTCATAGATAAACAAAGCCAGCATTTTAACATTATAACAATGATCCAGTCTGCTATAGCTGAAGGTTTCCCAGTTGATCTTCTTAATTTAGTGTTAGCATGCAGGTTAATGGATGACGGTGATGGGAATGTTTTGCAAATGTCATAAATGAATCAAAGTATTCATCAAGTTAAAGAAAATTTCAAGCTTAACTGTACCCCATACAATAGTCTCATGGCCGTTTTCTCAGATCCTGTCAATGAGTCGTTACAGCCATAGCATTACTTAATGTATGAGAAATTTCTGTTTTTGTCAGTTTTACTTGGAGGCAAAACAGGACTTAAGCACAGGGTTCCTCCAATACAGGGAATTTATTTACAATGAAAATGTGCAATAACTACAGTCTTGCTACAACAGGCTTGTCCACAGATGCTTGAGCTGGGAGAAATGAAAAGTGTTATGGATCTTCATATTACAGAGCAAGAGTAGATGAGCAAACAAAGGGTTAATCATTGATTGAATCGTGAAAGAGCCAGTATAATTAGATGCATGTTTCTTAGATTCAGTTCGCAGTGGGATATTTTCTGCTGATAAATCTGACCTGTTTGATAAGGTGTAGCTGAGATCCTGTTACAGTCGCCAAGGTGTTTATTCTGTCCCTCGATTTGGAGCAGAGTGGCACGGGTGGACCTCATACAGTACATGGCGGAAATTGCGAAGGTGAGGCTTGATAGAGGCAACATAGTGCTCACCTTCTATCACTGGCAGGAATGCAGATCGTATTCCTTGCTCAGGTACCAATGGACACAGACCAGTGGCTGAAGAAGTCAGATTATTGGCATACTCTATTTAGGAACGAGTGGAAAACGTGAGTGAACAAGAAATCCTCAATGCATAATGGGAAGCCCCGAAAAGCCTAATTCTTTTGCAATGTAAATAAGCGTTAGGGGGATCTCTCTCACCTCACGCCCAACTGGTCACGGCAGATGGCTGCCCCTCACTGAGCCTGGTTCTGCCAGGTTTCTTCCTGTTAAAAGGGAGATTTTCCTTCCCACTGTGGTCAAGTGGTTGCTCATAGGGGGTCATCATACTAAATATTAGAGATGGACCGATCCGATATTACATATCGGTATCGGTCCGATACTGACGTAAATTACTGGATCGGATATCGGAGAAAAATAAAAAATGTAATCCGATCCATTAAATATGCTCACGTGATGGAGTGGCTGTGTGTATTTGTAGCCTTGCTACCAATCCGGCATTTCATCTCCGAGGAAGTGATCCCAGAGAGAAGTAAAGCAAGTGTGTAAGTTCATCTCTGAATGTTTGTAAAGCATTCCCGCGTTAAGCTTAACAAACGATATATGGAGCGACTGCCTCTTCCCTCCCCCTCCATCTCCTGCTGCTACTTCAATCATGAAACTGATCCGTGATTAGCTGATCGGCTTTTCTGTCGCGAGTCCGTCTCTCTTGTTTGTTTATCTCCCACTTTGCACCAGAAAGAGGAAACCAGCGGCTGAATAACAGCAGCACGTTTAAGCTTGATAATCTGTTGTTAGAATTTATTTAATATTACTTTCTAGACCCGGATCCCCTGCACAGTTACCAGCCGTAGCTGACGCTGGTAACTGTGCAGGGGCGGATCTAGCAAAGTTTAGCCAGGGGGGCCGATAGGGCATTAACAGGGAAAACGGGGCACAAAGACATACTTTTCTTTCTTATTCTCATTTAAAATGTCTAGCTTTTA